GGGGGGGGGGGGGGGAACAGTAATAATCCAGACTTGCCAATAACATTAAATTTCTAAATTCTGTGAGTCAAACTTAGGGAGTGAGGCTGGTGGCCAATGAAATTGGAGAAGGAAAAAGAACAAGAACCTTCTTGAAAACTAATACTGGTTTAACTAAAATTTAGGAGAACAAACTGTTAAAAGTTCAGCATCAGATATCTGTTTAGTTCATGACTTTGCTCAACAGCATTTTTGCTTTTGATATAGCTACATCTGGAGCAGTTTATGAGTAACTACTTTCAGTGATGACAATCTGTCAAGGATATTAACTTGTTAACATTGGTGAAATTAATCAGATTAATCAACTAGAGAAGGATGAAGATGTTGTCGCTCAGTCACAAGCTATTGCTGCTTTGGAGTCTTTACCACCCCAGCCACCCCAGCTTTCACCCTCTATTGTTAATGCTCTGAATAATTTCCTCTCTGACTCCAAGGTTCTAGTTGTTCCTAAAGATTAACCTGCTTTTGATTAATGCTAAGTTGAGTGCATTTATCTGAAAATTTTTTCTTTTTGTCCCAAGGCTTATTGGAGAGTTCGAATTGAAGCAGCATTTGCATTGGCTAATATGGCATCTGAGGTACAGATACTATTTTATTTAACTTTCACATGTGCAGGAACTAGATTTTAGTAAATTGTTATTCCATCACTAGATGTAAATGTAAACTTGAGTTACAATAATGCTTTTGACAATGCTCTGGATGTGGCATTTGGAAAATTTTATGTAATAATTTCAGCTTTTGCTTGTTGTGAGCTCAATAATGTGGGCCATGGGCTTTGGTTTTAGATTTACAATGTCAAGTCTGATTAAATATGCAATGTAGAATCTTAAATTTTTTAACATTATCAAGTCTCTTGAGATTACTCTCTTTTGTCTTGCTCTCTCTTCATTTTTGATACCTGGTGTCAAGATATATGGGGTTTTATTTCATTGTCTTTCAGGAGTCTGATTTGCCTGGTTTACAACCTTTGGTAAAATTCTATAAAAGTCGAAGGTTTGATGAAAACATAGGACTTCCCAAGTGAGTTTCTTAACTTATGCCATCTTGATTTTTTAAGCTGCTTGTTAAAATACCATCATAAGATGTTCCATTCTGCTTATCTTCCAGGCCAAATGACTTCCATGATTTTCCTGATTACTTTGTTCTTGAGGTAATGCAATGAGGTAGGCTATGTGGTAAATTCTGTATTATGATCTTAGATTCTTCCTCTCACTATCAGAATGTTGATTCTATAACAGTTGATTTAATCACTAATCAGGGAACTTTGCCCGACTAGTTTTAATTGCAATACCTTTGTTAACCAAATGCTTTTTGCATGTACCATTGTATTTAATCTTCCTATTTCCACGGTTTGTAGCATCTTTTAGCTGCTACTTGCAAAATTGTTAGTTCTCAGAGTAAGTTTGTGCTGTGGCTGTCACTGGATATGGAACCACTATGCTTGTGAGAGCTTCTAACAGTTTATTTTTTTCATTGGTTTGTGCTCTTAGGCCATTCCACGTGCCATAGCCATGGTCAGAGCAGCAGACAAAACAAGCCCAAGAGAAGCTGTTGAGTTTCTTCTACAACTTTTGAAGGTGTGTTTTTCTCTCAGCCACAGTTTATTCTAGTATGAAAATGTTATCAAATATTAAATAGCCACAAAAATTTATGAGCTGGTTCTTGTTTTACTTTTTCCCCCTTTTATAAAACTATAAATTACGTTAAGAGTTATAAATTTGTTTGGAAAGAAATGTGGATATATTTATGCCCTTTTGTTTTATGCCCTTTTGTTTTATGCTTCCCTTTACCAGTATAACGATAACAGCGGGAATCTTTACTCTGATGTTTTCTGGTTGGCTGCATTAGTGCAGTCTGTTGGTGAACTTGAATTTGGGCAACAGGTACATAATCACATGTTTACTTACTGATGCTTTTTTGGTGTGCTGTTTTAAATGTTACTTGTTGGTTATAATTCCTGTTTCTCAGCCCTATAAGAGGCAACTGTTGAAATGTGAAAATTTTCCATCCTTAAGAATCATTGATTTTTATTTTGTGTCAATAACTTCTCCTAGGTTTTATAAAATTTTGGTAAAGTTTAAGTTATGTGTAACCTGTGTCATCAGTGCACTATCATCTGTAAGCTTGCCTGTTTCTCTTTTGCTACAAATGCATGCAGGTCTACTCATGATGATGTGGAAAAAGAAAATTGAAAATTCATAACAATTAGAGGATATTAGTGTCTATTCATTTCTTTTCATGATGGTATATTTTTAAATTTTCATTTCTTCTGAACTTTCATTTTCTCATATTTGCTATTAAGTTAGGGGCATTGTTGATAATCATGAATGCAGATTTGAAAATGATAATGAAACTCTATAAGTATTAGCTATTAGTATTTTTGCATGATATGAATGTTATAAATTTATAATATAAACATTAAAAGGTAGTTCTTTCCCTTCATTCATAGCTTTATCTGAAGGCTTGCCTGATTTTGGTGCTTCTTCCTTTTCAGAGTGTTATCCTTTTATCTTCGCTTCTCAAACGTATTGATCGGCTTTTGCAATTCGACAGGTATTAATTTATGTATGATACGTTGAATACCACCGCTGTTATCAGATACTATTGTCTGTTAAATCTAATTAAAATTGATATTTACCAGGTTGATGCCTAGTTATAATGGGATCTTAACAATCAGCTGCATCCGAACCTTGACACAAATTGCGCTCAAACTTTCTGCATTTATCCATCTGGTATGTATCACTTTATCTCCATTTAATGATTGACTGCTGTCAGAAGTTATCTTTTACATATAGCTTTTTAATTATGGCAGGATAATGTCTTCCAGCTAATTGTCCCTTTTCGGGATTTCAAGACAATTTGGCAAGTTCGAATAGAAGCAAGCAGGGCACTCCTTGATCTTGAGTTCCACTTGAGAGGCATTGATGCTACATTGTTGTTGTTTATCAAATATATAGAGGAAGAACTGTCTTTAAGAGGTTACTTCAGTCAAATTACTGAGTTTATTTTTGCCTGATTTATTCTAATTATAGCTCACTTAATATTCTTGGTAATACAGAGATGTGACTGAATTTATTTCAGTTTTAATCTTGTTCTACATCCCTTGATCGTGTGCAGGGCAGGTAAAATTGGGTGTGCATGCTATGCGATTATGTCAGATAAGCTGTGGATCCGATATTAATAATGATATTAAGACTGAAACTCTCATAGCTTTGCTCCAACTTTTTGAAAGTCGGATCGCATACAATAATGTATTTCTCCGGCATTACCTGTTCTGCATTTTACAAGTTCTTGCAGGAAGGTGTGAACACATTCTCTTTTGCTTCCTTTAGAATGAAAATATTCTTCTGTGGATATATGATATTTTGTTGTCTTCTTCTTACACTCTATGTTTGTTTATTTAAAAAGCATATAATTCTTTAATTTCTGGAAGAAATTTCTATTCTTGCCTTGCTCCCTGGTAGATAGTTTATTGGGACTTTTCAACCCCCTAAGCAGATGAAATTTTGATGGATACTCTAGCCTAAGCTTATCAAGTCCCCTGGAACATCTTTGAATGAGATTGTCATTGTTGTCGATTTTTAGTTTGAAGTATAGGAGATGGTGGTAATTGATGGGAGGTGAAGAGTAGCTAATAACAGAGGAGGAACTTGACTTTTTCTGTTCCATGCCTGTAAAGGGGTTAGCAGTTGTGATCTCATGTTGACTAAATTGTTTAGCCATTGATCTGCGGTTTAAGAGCTTAGCTAAAGGAAAATCAGATTTTATGTGATTACAATGCTGCCCAAATTCAGAAGATCCTTGGTGCATTTGGGCTCCTAGATTGAAAGTATTAAATAGGTAATTTCCAGATGAACACACAGGCTTCCGTAATTGCTGAGAAACAGATAATTAGCTTAACATTCGAAACTTGCAGAAACTGTATGCGACTGTAGATTTGCCTCTGCATGTAGAATTTCCCAAGTTGCTAAAATTACATAATAAAGAATGAGAACAAAACCCTTTCTTTCATCTCTATATTAGAGATTGTTTGGTATTCAATTTTTTGTTCATATTCTTGTGCTGCGGTGAAACTGAGTTATGTTGCTTTCCACTTTGTTGTTATTCATGATAGGCTTTTGTTGGGATCTTGTTTCGGTGATATTCCTATGTGCTATGTATGTGCTATGTATTGAGTTTTGTGCTCCCTTTTTCAGAACTCCAACGCTTTATGGAGTGCCCAGAGATAAGTTACGGCATGTGGGCAATATGGAAACTTGCATTGAGCAGAAGAACATTTTTGCACCTTTTGTTGCAGAAATAAAGCCTCCAGAAAATTCTGTGGAAGCCCCAAACCTTTCAAAGCCTCCAGAAAATCCTGTGGAAACCCCAAACCTTTCACACGATAACGTAGCTGTTCCAGAAGCTTTCAAGGAAGTGGAGACTGTGTCTAACAGTCACGAAAGGAAGACATCAGTTGTTAAGATTAGGGTCAGACAGTCTGCTGCTACTAGTAAAGCAGAGGATGCTGATAACAGAACTGTCGAAAGATCTCATGGACATCATGATGATCATGGTGCTGGCAGTTCGGTTTCTGTAGATGCACCCCAAAGAAATTCAGGTGAGGCTGTGAGCATCAGCAATCAAAATCTTGAGGAAGTCAATTCATTTCATGATCATGGTTCCCGTGTTACTGCTAGTATTGGGAGTGCAAAAATTGCAAGCGAAGGCGACAACTTTGGGAGGGAACTTCAGTGCACTGCTGACTCAGGCATAGTTTCTGTGCACCCTCAGCCTGATGATCCATCATCACCTAGTATAATGCAAGAGAACAATGTAGATGCTGAGGCCCAGAAGTTTGCAAGTCTTCAGAATCTGTCCAATGCTCGACATGATGGTGGTTCATTAGGTGTCGTTGATTCTCCATTCAGTGGAAAAGATGAGAAGAAAAAGAAGAAAAAAGATAAGGAGAAGAAACGGAAGCGGGAAGACCATAGAAGTCATCGGGATGATCCCGAGTATATAGAGAAGAAGCGACTGAAGGCAGAGAAGAAAAAACAGAAGGAAAAGGAGATAGCAAAGCTACTAAGTGAAGAAGCAAAGCCCTCTTCAGTAGCGTTACCAGGTAAGAAAGAGGAACCAGAGATCAGAACAGCAATGGTGCAGGTGAAACCGAGCGAATCTGGTGGATCCAAAGTTATAATCACCAAAGTGGAAACGAGACCCGATCCATCGGAAGGTAATTCTGCACCACCTAAATTGCGGATTAAGATAAAAAACAGGACGCTAAATAATTCGTAGTACATTAAAATTGGTCTTTCATTGTAGTTATAAACATTGCTGGAACTTGTGGTTCCATCAAAATTTTGAATATTTATCTCCAGCAATGTGTATTAGTTGGGTATATAGGCAAACAAGCCCCCTTTATGATTCAATAAATCTGTTTCTCTCATCTTTTTCTTCAGTCATATACCGATACCTTGCATTTAGAGAGGTTCCTTTTAGATCTTTGTGATATGTACATATTCATGGTCAATGATTTTTTCATTTCTTTTTTTTGTTTTCATTATCTTTTTTTTAATCAAATGCATGCATTTCTTGGCTGTATATGTTAAGAGGGATCCTAGAGGTCGGTTTGAACTTTGAAATTACCATGAGCAGTTGTTGAACTCTAGTGGGTTCTCAAGAATTAGGATTTACTGTATTCAATAGGTGCAGATTATTTTGGATTCTGTTTCTATCCTTGACTCAAAAGAAAGGGTGGGGAGGCAACACATGGTCAAAAAGAAATATGTTGTTGCACAGCTATCGATTAAAGTTGCAGTAAATTGAATGAGGATTAAGGGTGACAGTGGCTTTACAGCAACTTGAGCTTGAAATGATGCAGAAAGGCTAAGATTTTGTTGGTTGTTGGATTGGATTCTTGAATATCTGGTTCAGACAGGCTATGGATTTTTTGCTGCCCCCAATTAAAGGAAGCAGAATCTGGAGGGGGCTGGGAGCTAGAGTAGTGTGGTACTGCCATCATTAAATTAAATCTAGGGGGCCTAATTCAAGTCAAAACCTAAGATTGGGGAGATGCCTCGTAATATGCACGAACTATAGCAAAAGATTTCATCTCAAGTAATTTCTATTATTGACCTCAATTAATTACTGTACTTATAGAAAGGTAATTTTATTATTTATATATAAAAAGTTAACTTTTAAAGGTACATTGCTCGTTTATTTTAAAATTGATATCCTATGTACAATGCACCAAATTATAGAAATTATGGCAAAAGACCTAAGATTGGGAGGATTGGGAAGATGCCTCGTAATACACAAGAACTAAAGCAAAAGATTTGCCCTCAAGTTAAAAGTAATATTTATTTTTGACCTTCACAACTTACTGTATTTGTAGGGAGGTGATTCTATTCTTTATAGGTAGGTAGTTAACTTTAAAGATGCATTATTCTTTCCTTTACAAATCGATAGCCTATGCACAGTGCATCAAATTATAGCAAAAGATCTCAACGCCACTCAGAGATAGCCTTTTGCTTGTTTGTAACATGCAAGCTTATGAAAACTTTCTCAGTAATACGAAATCAATTCTAAGTTTCTAACATATATAAGTTCCGCGAGATTCTGCCAAATTCTGAGAATTTCAAAGTTTTCAGTGATCATGTATGACAAACCAAATTAAAATCCTAGAGGGATAAACTCAAAACCCTAATTTACGAAACTTAAAACCAGCAATTTAGAAACTTTTTTTTTAATAAAAAGGGGGCAATTGTTATAAAAGAAAAAGACTGCAAAACATGCTGTTGTATATCTTATTATACCCAGTTAAATTAATATCTAAAAGGTACAAAGTGAACTGCCGTAATAGGTCTTTTGAGGCCATCTCTTCGGCAAAGATGAAGGAGCTGAGCTAAGAGCACTTTCGTTTTTTGCTGAGCTAATTGCATTTCCAGTATTAATTTCTTTACAGCGTTGCAGCTTCTGTAAACTTGTGCACAACTTGAAGGACAGTCCATCAACCATATGCATATCCTTGGTTCAGAGGTATGTTATACAAAGCTTTGTTCTTCTTAGCAATCAGGTTTTTTTTTAGTTCATGCTTCTTATTGGTATATATATCTCATTCGAGGAGGAGACTCCTCAACAGTACTGGAAAACGCAAATAAATTCGTTTCCAATAGGATTTCATTTGTGTGATGATTGAGACTTCTTTTGTAAGATATATGTAAGAGATAAATGAAAATTAGAATATTTTGACATTTAAAATGTCAAAACTTGAGTTTAACAAAAAATTATTTTTTTAAAAAATACTAGAGATATTCAAACCTGCAACTAGATTTTTAGCAGCATATGACTTAAATTGAAAATGAATTCTGTATTTGGTAGTGCAAATTGAAAAATGTTACCCACCTAATCTTATCTCATAATAATTAAGTTTAACTTGGATTAAAGCACCTACTAACTTAATAATTCTAAAACTTTACATTACTTTTAATTTTTTAAAAGTTTAAACTTAAGTTATTCTGTGATGATTGGTCACAATCTTACTTCTTTCTTCATGTTGGATTTGGGGCATCAGCGTCCCTATTATTGTCGCAATTTCCCTTTTTTGAATCAGGATTAGGGCCCAGGGAAGCATATGTATGGAATGGGAATGAAATCTTCACTGGGCCCAGAGTGCCATCCTGGCGTCAGAAATCCTCAAAAAGGCATATATATGAAATGTTTAGGGGGGGATTGTGTCTGTGTGTGTCTAGAAGATATTAATTAACAAATGTATCAAATTAATTTTTTTATAAACGAAAAGGATGCATGTTTTAGCAAGAGAAAGAGTAATGAGTCATACTTGATACAAATAATAACAACTCTGAATGTGAAAGAATAATTAGGATATAAAACTTTTGCTGTTTCTAGTCTAGTCTAGTTCTTTTTTAGCAAATATATATGTATTTTGAGTTAAGTTGCATTGAATTTAAGGATATTAAAGTGGTTCAATATGAATATGAAATGATTTTGATGGAAAAGAGCTTCGGGTTGTACAAATTGATGTTGATAATGCAATGCTTTGTTGTTTTTAGGTTTAATATACATCAGTTCACTATCAACTAATACCCGTCATTAAATCAATTAATTTAGTAAATATATGCACACTTCAGGGTTTCTTTAGATATCTTCTTGGACACCTAGTGGGTAGGTCCCGGCCCTTAAGAGGTGTATTCCACCAGATTTGGCGTTCAAATAGTGTGCAGATATTTCCTTTGATACACCCATCCCCCCTTAATACAAAAAAAAAAATATAAAAATAAATAAATAAATATCTTCTTGGAAGAGAAATTTGATGTTGTCATTTTCACCTCTAATTAGTCATATTTGAGCTTCCATTTGACATCCCACCAGTGTTGGTTACAGCTAAGGGACAGAAATGACCGTTTATTACACAATACATTGAAGAAGAAAAAAAGAATCTATGATATCCTCTCAACCTCGGGGTGAATTTGGGTGAAATAATCTATAAAAGAGGGATTTCATTTCAAAGAAGAAAATATGAAGAAAAGACTTTCAAATTTCTTTTCCAAAATGACCTTTTATTTATGAGCTTGTCTCGTCTTAAAATTTACCCTTAAAAGTTATTAGATTGTATTTAGTTTAATTGTTTCGAATAATTTATAATTAATACTTAATATCTAATTGTTTATTGTGTTTAAATTTTAAAAAATAATAAATATCAATTATCATAGATGTTCATTATTAATTACATAGACTACTCAAAATAGTTATACCATACAAAACCTTGTTAAAAATTCCACCCTCCTTCCTATTTTTATTATTTGTTCTAGTTATAAATTGTTATAAATTAACTTGATACTTTTATATAAACAAATAAATTGAAATTAAATTTACTTATTTTCTTTATTTAAATGAAACCACCCAATAAGAACTATATATGAAAAGTTGTTATAAATTAATAAACTTGATACTTTTATTATCATTTATTTATTATACAAAAATATCAAATCAAATTAAGACAACTTAAAAAAAAAAGAAAAGAAAAGAAAAAGAACTGGAAGATTTATAATCTTTCTTCGTCATGGTAAATTCCTTAATTTCTTAAAATTTCTTCTTATGAAACCCCACACCTTAAACCCATTACAAACACTATCTAAGAGCCGCAAGAAAAGGGATCACCAGAAGTGGCAAAAGTGGTAGAGACTTAATTGAAGACAGTTTTGGATCAGGTTCATGGGAGAAAATGACTCCCATTGGACAATTGATTTCCTAAAAGAAAGAGAGTCATTTCTTTCTTTTCTATCTTCTCTGCAGAAAAGGAATGAATTTTTAATTTTCCAGTGCCCTTTGATTGGGCCTGATAGGGTCACTCCTTCTTCCATGTTCTTCTCCCACTATACCATAATTGATCCAACCACTCATTTTGCTTTGCTAGAGGTGATGAAATGAGTGATGTTATTGTCATACTAAACATTTTTTCTTGACCTTTTTTTTACTGAAAAGTTGCTGAAAATAATGTTTTTAGAAATTTATTATTTAAAAATTAAAAATTAAAATAAAATAAAAGTACAACCTTCTAGTGTTTCATTAACACTTTTAGAGCATGGCAAAGCTCATCTATGGTGAAATATTGAAACTTCAACCTTCTTTGCTCCCTCTTCTAGGGTTTCTTAGGGAGTGGGTGGATGAAAATTGAAAACAGCCCTCTTTCTCTCTCTAAGGTTTGTAGAGATTCTTAGATCTCTCCCTCTTAAGATTTAGGAGCTAGGAGCCTTTTTTGGTCATCTAGAAATGAACTTTTGGTCATGGGCACCAGAAATTGGATACACAAAAAAATGTAGAAAATTAAGGATTATGTTTGGTTAGTGGTGATATCCTTAGGAATATCCATGAAATATAAGCTAAATTAAGAAATTTACATAAGAAATTAAGAGTATTTATACTTTTACATTGATAGTTGTTTTTAAATAAATAAGAGAGAAAGGGCGTGGAATACTCATAAAGGTGGATATGATATTTCTCTAAAACAACTTACTTGATGGTAAAAACAAAACTTTAGTCACAATTTATATATAATATAGATCAAATTAATAATTACTTAAATTAAGAAATTTAGCTTTAGTTAAAAAAATAAAAAAACCTTAAATTAAGAAGGAAAAAACTCTAAAGAAATCATATGTAATTGCATATTAATCTAGTACATAAGTAGTTCTCGTGGTAGCGTATCAAGTAGTCACAAGAAAAAAAATCTAGAAACTTAAATTAATACAGGAAAATCCGAAAATACAAATGTTTGGCATTATAAGATCTTCTCAACTATCACGTAATTAAAAAGAACCTAATCATTTTATAAATAGACCAAATACACATTACAATTCAAACTTTAATTTGCTATAAAAAGAAAAAAGATTAAACTTAATTAGATTTTTTGAACTAATTTAGATTTTGCGTATTTTCTAAATAAATATATACGAGTATATAATTTAAATCATGGGTCTTTTGTGCGTCTGACAAGTCAAATTTGGCTGCTGATCATTCAAATCACGGTTTCATGCTTTGTAGGACTCCTCATAGAAATACAGAAAGGAATAATACAAATTGATTCTAAAAAAATATTATGAATAGTAATAATAAAAAAATTAAATATGTTTAATAAATTAATATAAAAATTTATTTAAAATATTTAAATAAATTCATAAATAAACTTAATATTTTAAATATCAAACATGTCACTTGATCTGGACTTCTCTCTCTTATAAATTGATATACTGTTGAAAAACAAACTGTATACATAATTACTGTGGGAAAGACAGCAATATTTATTTGATAGGTGATGATATCATCATCAATCCATTCAATCACTTCTCGAAAGCTTGTCTTGCCTGATCCAATCTTAGGCATATTGAACTTATGTAACCTGTGAACTCTCTGAGATAAATATGGAGGAATTTTACATTCAGAAGGAAACCTGGAAACTAGAACCAAGACAAAAACTCAATGCAACCATCTTGCAACTTGGGAAAATGAGGCATGAGGAAACTATGTATATATGAGCCCCAAGAACTGCATATACAAAAATCAATCACTGAAAAAAAATATAATTAGACTTAATCTTATAAAATTACCTAATCAATCTCGGTTTTAATTAATACGCGAATATTACTTTACTATTTAGAACAGCTAGAAATAACCAAAACACAGCATTATTAATTAACAATCACATTTATGGGATATTAATCATTGACAAGTTAAGTTGTCCACAAGAAAACTAGAAGATAAGATCAACATGTCTATGCATGTTACCCTTCAAACACAGAATAAAGACAATATTAATATATACCCACATATAGCATGCCCCAAATGCATATAAATGCTTTTGGCACATCAAAGAGGGTAAAGAGATTTAACCCTTATCGTAAGTATAGATTCTGATTATGGTTGTAGGCCTCCCATGATTTGCCAAACGCCATGGAAATCTGTTAGTTGTTGCTGCCAGACAATTGTAATGGGAATTAGTAATGCTTTTGGCCTACATATGATAGCCTATATATATGAAGTGAAGAATCAGCAAACACTTTCTTTTGGAACTTCATATATAGTATATAAATTTACCTCTTGAGGAATTCCAGAATTTTGCAGACAAGTGAAGATTGTATTCGGACTCATAATTGACAATGTTTCATCCACAATGTCTCCTTGAACCCCTAAGTTTTGGCGGCCATTAGACCTTGGCTCTTCAACCTGATCAGTTACTACCTCCATTAGAGAAGGATTCATTTTGTGACTTAGAGTACAGGATTTTCCTCCAGTTTCAAAGGATCGCCAACAACTTAATTGATTCATATCATTTTTCTCCAACTTTGATTGATTCAATTTTTCACTCCACTGCTGCTTCTTTTCTTCTGTCCTTGCCTTTGCCCTTGCCCTTGCCTTCTTCCTCAGGTCCCTGGCGAGAGGGCGCAGAGAGACTTTACGTGTCTGTCTACTGATTTTTTTGTTCTTCCTCAAGGGTTTCCCCTTAGAAATGCTTCCAGACACTACTTCACACTCAGAAGTAGAAGATGAAGGGATACTAGTACTGTAGCTGTTGGGATTCGTCCTGCAGGAGACACCATAAGTAAGTAATTTCTCGATTTCAGGCTTTGCCTGAAGAAGCAGCCACTCTACGGTTTTACTAGCTTTATCATATCCCAACATGTCTTGCAGGCCAAAAAATTTTCTGGCAACTTCTAGAGACAATCTCATTCTCCGATCTCTCGGCCCTTGTGCCGTGTTGATCTTGCTGTGCCGATCTCCCTTGTTAGACCTCTTTCTTGGGACTTTCTTGTTGATCTCATTTCCACTTCTAGCAGTACCGCAATCAATCATTGACTCGTCGATCTTGTCCGAATCAGGCATGTTAATGATAGTTTCCGAGACTGAATCCTCGCTACTTCTCATCAAGGGTTGATGAAACAGAAGGTGGTCATGGTGCTGATGGAGGAAAAGATCATGATCGTCTAGTATTTCTCCTAATTCATGGAGATTGTAGGGAGAGGGAAAGTGAAAGAAAGGGAGAGAAAACTCTTCCTGTTTGGAATTTGGAGTAACAATGTTGGCATAAATGTCATTTGAGGGAAACATTTTAGCTAGCTTTGCTCGAGAGATTGCACCTAAGAGGACAACCCTAGCCTTGAACCCTGCAACCAGCCTAGCTGCTGCTGGCATGGAGTTTGAGAATGACACAGACAGCCATAGTGTACTCTTCTTTTATACTTCTGCAAAGCAAAGCCAGGAAGAGATCGATGATGATCATGTGTTAGGCGAGAAGAAGAGATATGGTTCTAGCTAGTTTTGAGAAAGACAGCCCCCCATTTTTCTGTAGATGAGAAAAGGATGTTCAAGGGGGAAGTGAAGTGAGGATAATTGAGTTGAGTGGGAGTCTGGGAGATATTAAGTTAAGGGAGGACTGAGAGGGATTTATTGGATTGTAGACATCTTTTTCTTAATTTTTTTTCAGACTTGTGAAAAGGAAAAGAGAAAAGAAAGCAAAGTAGCAATATCATAGGAACTGGGAAGTGAGTGGTAGGGAAACACTAAGCTAGGACTGTGCCACTTCTGTTTTTTTTTTTTGTTTTTGTTTTTGGTTTTAAGAAAAATAAGTAATTCATTTAGAAAAATACGATTATGATTAGTTGAAAACATATTTAACTCTTGAAATAAACAAGAAGATTATAATAATTTAAGTATATATTAAATATTTCAAATTTATAATGTTAAAGAAAAATTAAATAAAGAAACCTCGACGTGGTATTTTCTAACCTTACAAAAGATATTAAAAAAATTAAATAAAAAAATCTTCACGTGATATTTTCTAATCTTACAAAAGTACAATTATTTCGCTCCTAAAGTAAGAAAAATTAGTGCCTGCAAAGCTTTGACTAGCCTCTGGCCATGTCTAAGCCCCTCTGCCCAAAAAGAGAAAACCTAATCTCTCTCTCTCTCTCTCTCTCACAACTCAATCAATTATCTGTGGAAAATTTTTGTTACTTTCCCTCCCCCAACATGCGTGTGCTTATCTGTTTTGCTTTTCATTTGGTGGAAAGCTCTCTCTGTGTACCGAGTACAGACATGCACAAGCACAATTTGTCAAGATAAAGAGATGCTTTTCATTGTACTATGTATAAGTTGCAACATCAAAACCCTAGCCCAATGAAAAAGTGACAAAAATCACTATATTTGAAGCCTTTCTGCTCTCATTGTTTCCATATATGCCTGCCGTTATTACTTCCCCCTTACCCAAATTTCACCTCTCTGGCTGGGTGCTGACCCTCTTGGACTCTGTGGATTTGAGAATTGGGAGGACCACATGAAATGAGGAGCTGAGTTGCTTTGAGGTTGCTTTCAATTGTTTGGATAACTATGAAGAAAACAGACAAAAATAAAAAAAGCAGCATATTGAAGTGGGTGATAGTGAGAGCATAAACCCTAAAATGTCTTGGTTAATTAGTTCAAGTACTCTCATCCTTTTTTCCCTTTTATGATTGTTTCCTTTGTGGTGCTACATGCTTTTCTACACATGAATGTGATGTACATGTAGAAATAAATTCATAAGAATTTAATTGAATTGTTATCTATTATAATTTATGATTAGAGTAAAGAGTTTAAATTTTTATAATATCAAACAGTTAGTTATAAACCTATTAAAAAACACAAAAATAGTTCAGTGTTTTCAAAAATTGCCATGTCTCATACGGAAGATCAAAATTGAAAGTTCAAAGTTTAATGTTTGATTATTCATTCATGGAAGCAATTATATTCCTCAATCCCATGGTTTAAACAAAACTTTGACTTGACTTCCTAGTTTTTGGTTTCACTTCCTGGAATCTTTTGAGGGGGTGAACCATTTTCCAAAATTGGGTATCTTGCAGGCAATTATCTCCACTGCTGTGCCTCACTTTGGCAACAAAAATTATGAAATACATCTCATTTGGACTCCATGTGAGGAATCTTTTTCTTTTTTCTGGGATTCATTTTTATCTTTTGGGAGCTAGAAAATTTATTAATTTTTAGGGGATTTTGGGATTTGTGAAGTAAGAGTAGAAACAGGAACAAAGTTAGGAAATTCAATTAAGGGAGTAAAAATTATTATTGAAGATTTGAGTCTTTAACATATATTTTATAACACTAATTTATTTTTAAAAATTTAATTTTTCTTATAAAAAGATTCACTTTGGTCTTTTTCATTAATGTATTTTTAACAAAAATTAGAAATAAATGTATTTATTATAATAAAAAAGCAAAATATCACAATAATAAATTATATTATGATCAATTGAAGAATGAATAAAAAAAGTGTTTATTAGCTAAATCTCTAAAAAATTAAGAGAAAAAACACCACAAAATTACATCGTTTCAGTAAACTTGCATTGAAGAAAAAAAACATATTCTTACAGTAGGAGTAAGAGTGTTTTGATTTTATTGAAATAATCTAATTTTAGGATGTTTTACTCCTAATTTTTTAGAGATCATGTTGATAAACACCAATATTATAAAAAATACTAAAATAGTTCTTTTAGAAAATAAACTAACTTAAATTGACTTAACATAAAAAAATGATCATAAATTTAATCATGAAAGTTAAAAAAAATATCTCAAAAAAAAATTTAAATTATTATATAGAATATTAAGAAAGAAAATAAAAGAATATTAAAAAAATTTGTCATTTAAAGTTGTTTAAATAAGAATAAAAATTTTTTTGGGGGGCTTAACAGATGAGAAAATGTTTAAGAACCTTAATTCTTAATTAATTAAATTGGCATACAATTCATTTTATTTAAATCACATCCTTATTTTTAGAAAACTCTTTATTTAAGTCTTAAATATTTTCTCTACATTTGCAATAATTCTTGAAATTTATATTATAAAAGAAAATTTTCTCAAATAAAAGTTAGAGTACTATATTAAATGTTTCTCAAAAGTTTAAGGGGGGCGGCTGCCTCCATTGTTCTTCAATGCCTTGGTCCCTGGTAACAATACCTTTTGTATTTTAAACCAATAAACAATATTTATTTGGTTGATTAGGAAAAAAAAAATTCCAGGGGATTTCAAAAGCATTAATGAGACTTTAGTATCTCTTACTACTTAGACAATCTTTTGCACATGAATTTTAGGATCAACATTTTTTTTTCCTGAATGCATCACGTTAGTATGAGGTTGCGTTTTCAAAATTGTCAAATATATATATATAT